GGGAAGGTTGGGATACAGCTTGACCAGCGACCCCTTGACTGCCTACTCCCTAGATGAGCACTTCAAAATGCTATAGTCTTGCTCCCACAAGACTCCCTCCCCTGGATTATTTCCCTCACATTTTTCACCAAAAGTGAGCTGTTATCCGAGGTTCTGATCCTGTCAAGGTGGCTTGAACCAAACAAATGGACATCTTATGATTGAATTAAATAAAAGAGAGGATCGGAGAGCTCCGCTGGCCCCCAAAAATGCATCCCTCTCCAAGCTCTTAGCCTGCAGAAAAAGGTTACCGTGATACCTCCCTGCTTTCAGGTGGCGTCACTTGCCCTGCTCTGCTACACTCACTCGGAACCTGCATCGCGTGGCAGCCATGATGCTGGGGCGCGGGCCAAGCAAGCTCTGCACCACGGTCGGTCCCAAGCCACTGCCTCATCGCCATCCTCGGTGAACATAGGGTCAGTCAAGCGCTGGGCCTTGTCCGACTTCTGGTGATGCATGCATAGCGGCACATGCTTGAAGCCCTGCAAGTGGAGCGCGCTCCTCGGAGTAGCCAGATATCCCGATGGGCATGGCCAGCGGTCCCTCCGCTTCGTGTTCCTCACTGCTTCCTGCAGCCACTTGGCGGCCTCCTTGTCTCTGCAGAAGCCCGGCACATCGGTATCTCTTCTCTGGGCTATCCAGTCCGAAGCGTCCTCAAAAGTCTCACCCATCATCACAGCCCTGATCAATGCTGTGGCTCCTCCGGCTCGGTGGCGACCCGCAATGCAGTGTGTGTCGATGACTTCGCCACAGTACAAAGACTGTAGGACCAATGGCCATAGCTCCTTCCACGCCTCTGCACGCTCTGCTGCCACGGCCACAGGGAATCGCCTCAGCAGCGCGTTAGGCAGCACCACTCCATTCCGCGCCTCTGGCCTCTCAGTGAAGCATGCGATCTGCAAGGTGGCCGGTGGAAACCTATGTTTGTTGGCTGCCGTCGGAAGCCCGGCCAGCCACAACTGACCCCCTGAACTCATCTCCAGGATTTTGGTTGGGGCCTGGGCATACTTTCCCTTGATCGTTGCAAGGCGGTCCCAAATGACTTCTTCTTGGGGTGGATCCAGGGTTGCCGGCATAGGGGGCATCACAAAGTCCTCGTCCGCTGGGATGTGCGCTGGCCGCTCAATCACCATCCCTGACTCATGGACCTCAAGTGCAGGCCTGGATGACGATGCCTTCGCCACCGGCGGCTGCTTGGGCGTGGAGGCTCCACCTGCCGCTGCTGTTCTCTTGGCCTTTGGTTGCGGCTGCAGCTTCGGTGCCGCTTTAGCTTGGGCAGGAGCCACCGCAGGCGCTTTCGGTGGCGTCACCGGCGCCCCAGCCTTTGGTGGGGTTACCGGCGCTTCTTGCCTCCTTGCCCTCTTGGCCAATGGAACTATGCTTTCTGAGGAGCTCGATGATGTGCAGCCTGGTACTGCCTGTACCGTGGCCTCCTCCTGAGTGGAAGGATGCGGTAGCACCGGAGATGTGACGGTACTCTCCGCCAATCGAGCCTTCTTCGTCCAGCAGACGTGGGCACCATGTTTGCCGCCGCATGCCCGTCCAGTTCTGGATACAACGGCACAAACGTGGGCTTCCGGGCACTGCTCCTCCTCACACTGCCCTGACTGAAAGAGGGCACATAGTGAGGTCCCGTTCCTCAGGAACTTGGTGAGCAACTTCCCCCCTATGGAAGGGGGCATTGCCGGGCGGCCTGCCCTGGCGGCCTCTTCTTTGGCCTTGTCTCTCTGCTCGAGGGCTTGCTGAACGAAGTTGAACGACCTCTTCACCGAGGTTGGCGATGCCTTCGCCTGCCATTTGGTGACCACGTCCTGGTTGATCTTCTTGGCAACCGTTGCCTCTGCCTGCACCACTGCGGCATGCAGATCATCCATTGGGATCACTTCCCAAGACTCAAACTTGGTCAGGTTGGCCATGATGGCATAGGCCATGTGCTTCATCCGTGTTGACATCGCTTCCTTGGAGCCGGCATAGTGTGCTGGCATCTTGGCAGATGATTTGACCTCATCTGTCCAGTCTCCTAATGCGTTCAGCTCCAAGTCCGTGAAGGTCGAGAGCAAACCCACTGTAGGTGCCACCCGTCGCCATGTGTATGTTGTGATATTCCTTGCATCATCGACATGGTTCTCGAAGAGGAGCTGGGCCTTCTTCTGGACCTCCGAGATAGGGTAGGGGATCCCTTCCCCGTCAAAGGCCATACCACAGGTCTGCTGCTTCTCTTCGGGCAGCTCTTTGATGGCATCGATCACTCTCTGAGCCCACGGAAAACCATTGGTGAACTCGGCAGGGGCTGACCAGGTAAATCCATTCCTGGAGTGTGCCTGCTTTCCCTGCGAACACCAGGCATGGACAGTAGAGGCAGAAAGCCGCTGGGGGGAACTCTTGGTGATGTGTCGGTGCCGCAAACATCCGACAGCACATAACCAGTTGGCTAACAAGGCCATCCATTCTGGATTGTTGTGTTCGGCCGCGGTGATGATGCCTGCCTCCAAGAAGGGGATCATGCCTGGCTCGGCCACCACTGCCTGCTGCCGCTTCCGTGTCCTCACATTGGGTGCCACTGGAAGCTGGATGTTGGTGAGGTTCCACCCCATCGTGCCGGCTTTGTTGAGCCACTTCAGCCCTCGCTGGGCCGTCTGTGCCATCCTGGACGAATGATGCCAGGTCCAAGTCCTCGACCACTTCGAGGCCCCTGTCCTCCTGGTAGTGCGCCAGCTCCTTCCAGGTGCGGATGGCATTGATGATCGTCTGGCTATCGGCTTGAGTGACTTTCTGTTGTGACAACCGCCGCAACTGCTTCCTCCACTCTTCCAGCCGTGCCTCGGTTACCTTGTGGGCCGGCCGCTGCACAGACATTTCTTCGAAACACTGCGCAAGAGACTCTACCCTCTGCACCACTGCATCAGGCCCGTACCTGTTGGTAGACAGGGTCACTCCCTGTCTCCTCTGGATCATTGGCTTCACGGTCGGTCGAGGAACTCGATCTCTTGCTGAGCCAGCGCCACTATCTTCGACCGCCCTTGCTCCAGCCGCCAGCAACCCTTCATCAGCTTTGGACCGGGCTGAGGCCCATTGCGCCGCCAGAGCGTGCCCTCCTGCCGACATGGCATCCTGGTAGTTCTCGAAGGCATAGGCGAGGTCACTATCATCAGCTAACCCGAAGTGTTGCCTCACTTCCAGCGCCCTTTCCATAGTGGCCACTTCCACGGCTTGCTCTGGGTCCCAGGTGCTTGCTTCACCCGCGGCCTCAAGAGCATACCGTCCCTTGCCGCTCGCCATGGCACCGGCAGCAACCGCGAGTCCTAGTTGAGCCAGGGCTGAGAATGTAGATGGAGATGATCTGGTTCCGGCACTCTCCCGTGCCTTATAACCTCCCTGGACCACCCCCTTGACATCCCCAGACAGGACCGACTCATTGCTCATCGTCAGAGGAGCCGCAGAAGGGGCAGAAATCACCTCCACGTCGGCATTCCTCGCAGACTGCTCCGCCGCAGGTTGGACAAGATGTGAACGTAGGGATCCAGCAAAGCCGACATGGCCCAGGGATCCACTCCACCTCAGCCTCCACGGCACCCAGGATGCGTCGCACGGGTCTCCGCTCGTCTGCGATCGTCGTTGGCCCGCACGACTCCTCCGCAGCCTGTCCAGGGTTCCACCCAGGTACAGCTGCCCCGCTGCCATTCCCTCCATAGCTCGAAGAACTCCTGCATCGTGATGCCGTCACGACACAGGGCCAGCCGGACGAGGGTCCCATGGGCATGGCTTGGGATGAGCTGCGCACGGGTAACGCCCGAGGCAACTCTTTGCAACGCAAGGAGTAATGCTCCCACAAAGATTGGGCTGTGTCACCTGCTTGGGCCAAAACAGCCGTCTTGGTCCAAATGCCCACGAAAGGAAACTGAAAGCCTCCCCTTCTGGTGTCGCATCGCACACATGGTGACTCCATGCAAGGCATTCTGCACACCCCAGGCAACTCTGGGATCCCCAAAACATCCACATTGGGGTTCGTTCCATTATGGATGACTTCCACAACAGACTCCCAAAGGATGCGCGCCTCGGCCGCTCGCCCAGCACGAAGAAGAAGGCGCACGTAGTTGGAGAAGTCCATCCATGCCGCGGTGTGCAGTATCTCTGCACGCGTGTGCAAAGCAACATGTACCCCAGGGATTAGGTTGGCCATTCGGTGGACACCACCACTTAGACCAACTACCTCCCGTCCAAGGAAAACAATGCTGCTATTTTGGATCAATACTTACTTGAGCCAAAATTGGCATTGATTTTACCTTATTTAACCAACCACCAAGGAATGACCACTGTCCACCCAGGCCTGCCAAACACTAGACAGTCATATAATATATATGTATATATATAATATATAATAATATATATATATGATATATATATATATATCATACATATACATATATATATATGTAGGAAATATATGGAAAAATATGCTGTTCTTAAATTCATATCAATGTGTTTTAAGATGTTTTAAGGGATATATCATATGTCCATTGACACTCAACATGTGAACATGAGTGAAATATGTCTGAAATTATTGAGAATAAGCCTATGTCATGAGAACGGACACTTTAAACGGATAGTTGGCTCAAGATAACTTTTTATGGCTCTGGGGGTCAAGATATGTTGAAAAAAATTGCAGAGCCAGTTCCACTGCCAGTTCCGAATTGATGGCCAATCTGATCATCAAAATCGCTGGGAATGGCTATTGATCCATGGCATTCCATGGCCACAACTGCTCCAAGAATGAGAGAGGGAAGGAAAGCCAGGAGATTCGATAACTTGGAGACCATGACTTTCCGTAAACTTGGACATTGTAGCTTTGCATAAATGCTCGAAATCATAAAGAAAACCACTCGGACTTTCGAAATGCTGAGTCCAAAGTCATAGAAAAATCTCATCTCCAGCTGCCGAGTCCAGGTTTTGTGCCGAGCTTCGTTGTTCACAAAGCCATTCAAATCTCCATTGAACAGGGTCTTCTCGTCTCCCGTCGCAAGCATCTCCTTCCGGATTCTTAGATCAAAAGAAAGTCGAAGTATGAAAAACAATCGCATGTCAAACAAATGTAAAAATTTGATTGGATCGGCGAGTTCATCGATGTTATTTGTTTCATGTTTTTGCGGCACCTTTGGCAGTGAAAACAACGTGTTCCAACATAACATCAACGGACTCCTGAAGCTTCGCATAGTCGCCAGTATAGGACGCCTGATATCGCAGCCGTGGCCGTGGCTGTGACTTTCTGCCTCTGTAGCAATTCTCTGGTGTCATCAAACATGGCTGGGAAATCGCAGGACTAAATGGACATACCCTCTGGTAATTTAACATAGCTATTGAAAATGGCCATAGAAATAGTGAGTTGTCCCATTAAAAATGGTGATTTTCCATAGCTATGTTAGTTTATCAGAGGGTAAATGGAGGGTTTAATGCTGGGAAAATCCAGCGGAATAAACGGTTCTTGATTTTCCCAAGGGAACGTTGGCGTTTCCCGACTTGGGATATTTCAATAAGATCCCCAATTCATGGCAGGGTTTCCATGGGTTTCCGACATGTTTCCTGACTTGGGGCACTTCAAAAAACATGTAAAAAAAACTCTGCACGGATCAGATGTCTTCCAGGCCTCGCGAACAGCCTTGATCTCCACCATGTTGTGCTTCATGTATCGCCTCCCAAATCTGAAACCGGACCCAACTGACCCAAGGGCCTTATCTTGTACCCACCCGAAAAAAACGGAAAAAAAAACTATCCCTATTTTAGTATAAGATATTACTTTTCTATTTTTGTTGGGGGCTAGATGTTTTTTAATTGATGCTTTTTTTTCTCCATGTTTCTCCTACTTTTCGCAGATGATCTGCCCAAAAACACATGAAACTGCAGGAGAACAGTCCCGTCTCCAGGATTGGATCGTCTGAGAATCGCACTTCGCATTGGGAATGGCATTACGAAAGCCACTGCTCGGCACACCCTGGGACGCAAGAAAAACGGCGGATTTTTTTCAAACTGCGGAAACTGAGTTCCAGATGGTATGTTACGCCGGTCATCAAACATGGCTGGAAAATCTCCCATTGATCAAAACCCCAAGTTTGTGGGTTTCCTAGCTGGCCATGTTTCCTTATGTTTCCTTGCCAAGGGGTCTATTAAAGTATATTAATTTATTGAACCATATTCATATTATATCTAAATTTCTGACTGCTGTCTCGAAAATGATCCTCCCTTCCTTTGGATCCTTTGGGGATGGTCCAAAGAGGTCTGGTAAAGAAAAACACATCGGAACTAGTTTCTGGTGATTCAACGTAGCTATGGCAAATCACCAAATTTCTGATAGGCAGATTGGTGCATCATCTATAAAATCTATAAAATCTATTTCTATGGGCCATTGTCCATAGCAAACTGTGAAATTACCGCGGAGCGTAAACTCAGGCAGAGTTCAAACTCCAGACTGTGCAGTGTGTGCCGTCACTTCTTTGGTGCGCGAAACGGAAAATTTCCCGAACAATTCATGGTTTGCTACAGTTCCCATGCCGCCAAAACAGACCCTACATGACCCAGGGCTTGGACGATAAGTTTGCGTGAAAAATTGGCCACGTTCGACGTAAAAAAACGGGGGATGGGGGACCTTCCCATGGCGCAATGAGCCAAGAAACGCTCGGGATCTCAACATCAGTTCCAGGATGATACTCTGGCATCGTGCCTGTGACAGGAATCCAGATTCAGGAGCTTCAACCGGTTGTTTCTATAAACATGGGGCATTTATATATATAGACATACATTTCATAGATTTCATAGCCATCAAATAATAACAATAATTATTATCGCGGCAAGAGACCCCGAAGAGTGTGCAGATTGGATTCTAAAAGGAAAGGTTGAATCGAAGGGACACAAAATCATCTGCGGCTCCAAGCCAGCAGGGCAAGAGCGACCCTAGTAGTGAAAGCATGGTGTTCATTCTCAAGGTGATCTGGGTTTGTCTGAAAATAGGGTATATTCCCAATTATAGCCATTTAATAGGGATAATGATCATTAACCATTGGGTTTAGGGGTACACTATTTTCAGACACACCCATCTCTGGAAGAAGAGATGCCAAATCATAAATTCGGCAAGTTCCCTTTGTGAAGATCTCTGTAGAAGATTGTGCGCAATATTTTAGTGACAGGTGCCCTGCAGAAGCTGATCCCTTTGTAAGGCTATCCGTACAAGGTGTCTATAAGAGATCTCCACAGAAGATCTCTATAAGAGATCTCAAAGTCTGGAAGTAAAATCTCTGTTCCCTTCACCAGGTCCCTGTACAAGATCTGTAAAATAGGTCTCCGGGCAAGATCTCTGTACAAGATCTACAAAAGAAGTCTCTTGGAAAAATCTCTGTAAGAGCTCTCTTGGCAAGATCTTTGTAAGGGACCTCTTGGCAAGATCTCAACAGATCTCTATGCGATGTCTCTGTACAAGATCTCTGTAAGAGGTCTCGTGGCAAGCTCTCTGTACAAGCTCCCTATAAGAGGTCTCTTGGCAAGATCTGTTTCAGAGATCTCTGCACAAGCTCTCTATAAGAGCTCTCTTGGCAAGATCTCTGTAAGAGACCTCTTGGCAAGATGTCTGCACAAGACTTCTTTCAGAGGTCTCTTGGCAAGATTGAAGAGATCTCTGTAGATGTTTGTATAAGAGCTCTGTTGGCAAGATCTCTGTAAGAGACCTCGTGCCAAGATCTCTCTACAAGATCTCTATCAAAGCTCTCTGCATAAGATCTCTACAAGAGGTCTCCGTGGCAAGATCTCTGCGCAAGCTCTCTATAAAGCTCTCTATAAAGGACCTCCTTGTCAAGATCTCTGCACAAGATCTCATGTTGATTATCAAAATTAGCACCGCGCCACAATCTCACGAGGACACGTTTGTGCTGTAACGGTCATCAAAAATGTCGTGTAAGTATGAGACCACCTCGAATTAACACCCGGCCTTAACAGCTATCGTAAGGACCCCAAGTATGGCCACACTGTTTGGGGAACAATAATACGCACTGTAAATAACAATAATAGCGAAAATTACTGTAGCTTTTGCACCAAGACTCTTTTGGGTATACGGGTATACCCAATTCTTTAGACAAACCTCAACTTGCTGTACCTACAGGAGACCTCACCTCGTCGTAGCCGGGCTGGATTGGGCTCGCGGGTTTTTGAGCCGATCGGCTGTCGCAAATGGCCGTTGCATCTTGAAATTTCCAGGTGAAGTCGATGTTACTCCCCATAATCCCATCACCCTAATATTACGAATATTGAAAATCTTCAGAAGAAACCATGGTTTAGTAGGGGATTTCTACATCATTGGAACCATACTTAATGGGGGTGGTTTTTGTTTTTGAAGGGCTGGGATTAGCGGAGACTCAACTCCTCTGGCCGCCCAGTGGCCATTGGGGGGGTTCATCCCCTGCCTTTCCAATACGCATCTTCTGGCACAGGTCTGCAAACAAATCGAAACCGATGCACAAACATGGACAACATACGTACTCTATGTTTGGAGACGGAGAAGTTGACACTATACCTACAAATTGGAGAAACTTGACTAATGGTGAACAATAGGTGTACCATGGATAGTAACAATAAAGATATGATATAAAAAGAAGTAAAAAGATCTGTTTCTGAAAGGCATCATTGTTTACCGCCGGTGAAAGCCATGATGATTGCTGGCTTGGAAGTTCCGTTGGTGGACCGGTGTCGATTCGTGATGTTGTTGGAAGATCCCGCTTGGTTTTGGGTGAAATCAAACATGGTCACATGATATGGGTAATTCTATCAGTGGAAATTTCAGGATCCTAAAATCGAGGTACTGTACCGACTGTACCATATAAGGACATATTTTGTGGGGATATCCAGGTACCTCTAATTTAGGTTCCTGACATGGCCATTGATTCTACGGATGTCATTTTTTTTACATTTTGGATATTGACATTCCAACGGCGATGATCTGAACATGTCGAACATGTTTCTGCGCTGAGAGCAGTCTTGAAGCTTCACCCACTCCCAATTTTTTGGGCAAATCGCATGCTCAGTTGCTCCCGTCTGCGCATCAGTAGCTGCCTGGGACAAGGCAGTAGCTGGATGTAGCCGGTAGCAGGGTTTTTCATCAGCAGATAGCATAACCCATAGGATCCATGTATGCTATATATGCTAACACTGGGGGTATATTGATGGGATCCATGTTACCATATATAGCAGCACCATGGATCCTATGGGTAACAAGTACTTAAGAAATCGATTATGACCGGACAGATCAGGCCTAGAAGGCTGGACATATTAAGTGTTTCGTACGGTGCCCATCTTGCCCGCAAAACCTGATGGCCTTTTGTATGACTGTCTTATGAGATCTGGCTCAAAAGAATGGCTGATAAATGGATATAAATGGCTTATAGCATGGCTTATAGCATGGCTTATAGCATGGCTTATAGCATGGCTTATAGCATGGCTTATACCGATGGTATAAGCCAACTCCTGGATTAGAAAAGAGATCCAAAACGTCACAGAGCATTGACGTTACCACCATCGAAAAAGCCGAGACACTTTTAGCAGCAGCCACTCACATCACTCACGGGGGATATCTCTAGTCCCCCAGGTCACCGAAAAAAACCATGGGGTTCGACTAGTGCACCGAAAGTGAGCACCGCCCAAATCCATCACCGATTTCCATGGCAAGCCTATGGATCCGTCTTTGACGGAGGCTTGTCCATCGGCGACCATCGGTCTGTATTTGGAGTGCCCAGTCCAACTTTCGAAAATTAAAAAGATATCCGGCGAAAAGGTTGTAATACTCACATATTTAAGATATTCATAGGACATTCATGGACATTCAACATCAAAGATGTTCATCATATTACATTCAAATCATTCAACATTCTTTGGGCTTTGATTGGTTGGACCAGAATGGGGGATGTCCAAAAAGACAGCCACAAAAGAG